GCGCGAACAACTCCGCGCCCTCGAGGGCGCCCGTGGCTCCCAGTGGGGCCCCCGCCGGCGGCGAGCGGGGGGGGGGGAAGTGAAAAGGAGAAGGCCTCCTCAGAGGGCGGCGGGACTGCTCGGAAGCCCTCGCGCCTTCTGAGGAGAGTTCTGCGTCTTCGGGGAAGGCACGAGAAAAACTTCCCGGAGGGCTGTAGGACTGCCGAGCCTTCTGAGAAGGCCCGCCCCCTCCAGCTTCCCCCCCCCGGGCTCGCCGCCAGCCCTGGAGGGCACGCGCATGGTGGGGTGCAGAATCCAGGCGGGATCCCTGGAAGAGATCTGGCAGGCCTCGCCAGGCTGCAGTGCTGCTGCGGCTGCTGCTGGTCAGGGAGCAAACGCTGACTTGAGCACAAAAGCGCTGAGGTGCGCAGGGAGTTCGCGAATCGGCGCTGGCTCCGCCCCCCCCCCCACTTGTAGACGTCCACCACTGCGACCTGAGCGCTGCCGCTCTGCTTGAAGACGTGGGATTCGAAGACGACCGCCTGCGTGCCGCGCAGCCCGGCAGGAGCAGGGAAGAGGGAGGAAGGCAGGGGGCGAGTTGCCTGGGCTGGCTATGGCGACGCTCCTCCTCCTCATCCTCCTCCCCCTCCTCCTCCTCCTCCTCTCCGCCTTCTGCTCCTCCTCCTCCTCCTCCTTCTCCTCCTCCTCCTCCTACCTCCCTCCTCTCCTCACACCTTCTTCCTCCCCTCCCCCTCCGCCCCCTCCTCCTCCTCCCCCTCTCCCTCCCCCTCCCCCTTCCTCATCCTCCTCCTCCTCCTCCTCCTCCTCCTCCTCCATCCGCCTCGCTCCTCCTCCTCCTCCTCCTCCTCCTCCTCCTCCCAAAACAATACACACTAAAAGCCAACATCCCCTCAGGAGTATCCAATGAAGGACGCTGCATGAAGACGTCTGGGGCGGTGCGGTCTCGACACTGCCCTGAAGCCATCGGGCGTGAGTAAAGGAGCATGTTGTGGATCCAAGCGGACCGTGGGGGTTATGCTACATGCTGAACATGTGGGACCGCGCGAGGGTGTTCTGGGACTTCCTCGGCAGTTCTGACATAAAAAGAGATCGGAGGCTGGGTGGGAGATCGCAATGGAACGGAGAGCCCCCCACCAGGAAATCGGCTTCGGCTTCGTGCTCGTGTCGTGCGCGCGGGCAAGGCGAAGCTGCGTGGCGCGCGAGAGGGATGATGCCGCCGCCCGTGCAGCCCGTTGTCCGCCCCTTCGCCCCCGGCGCTCGGTTCGGGGATCACAATCCAGACCCGGGTCAGCAGGAAACCGAAAAACTGCAACGCGGGAGAACAAAAAAAAACAAAAAAGCTGCAACGCAGGCTTTCGCAAACCCGGGTCAGCCAATATGCAAGGCCGCCCTCGCGGCCACGAGCGGCTCGCAAACCCGGGTCAGCCAGAGGGGGTCTTCGCAGGATCCTGAAAGATCTGGCGCTCTGGCTGACCCCGCTCAAGGCTCCCGATCGGTGGCCCGGCGTGTCCCGCCGGTGGCCCGTCAAGCATCCCGCCGGTGTCCCGCGGATGTCCCGTCGGTGGCGCACGGGCGCAGGGGTGCCCCGTCGGCGGCGTGGGGTGTCCCGACGGTGGCCCGGGGCGTCCCGCCGTGGTGCCTCGAGGGCAGCTCGTGAGATCCGTTGCGAGATCGATGGCGAGTTCGACTGCGTGATCGATTGCGATCACGGTATCCATCGCGGGATCGCGAGATCGAGGGGGAGACGGAGAGATCGACAGTGCGATCGATAGTCAGGCCGGCAGTGAGGTCGACAGTGAGATCGACAGCGAGATGTCCCGGCGGTGCCCACGTGGTGCCCCAGGCGCCTTGCGTCGAAGGTTCCTGCGCCATCGTAACCATCACGATCGTCGGAGGTGAGGGGGTGAGATCGCAGTGGAACGGAGAGCCCCGCACCAGTGGCCTGGTCGGGGGTGGCGCGGGGGTGCCCCGTCGGTGGCGCGGGGTGTCCCGACGATGGTCCAGGGTGTCCCGCCGTGGTGTCCCGATGGTAGCTCGTGAGATCTGTTGTGAGATCGATGGTAAGGTCGATAGTGAGATCGATTGCGTGATCGATAGTGGGATCCAGAGATCGATAGTGAGATCGACAGTGAGATCGATAGTGAGATCGATCACAACAGATCCTTGGCTGGGGGGGCCCACCGTGGCTGGAGGTACCCCATCGTGGTTTCCCGATGGTGTCTTGCAAGATCTGTTGAGACATCGATAGTGGGATCGAAAGTGAGACCGATTGTCAAATCGATAGTGAGATCGATAGTGGGATTGAAGCAGCTATATGGGCGAGCCATTCTGCATTCTCACCATTAGCGTCATCGTGCATCGTCGCCGACTCGCGAGCGCAACGCCAGCATCGTCACCATCAAAGTCATCGCGGTTGTCGTCAGTGGGTTTTTCCTCCCGCCCCAACCTCCTTGTCACCCGAAGTGTGGTCGCACAGGTATCCAAAAGTCAATTGAGGGCCCAATGTCATCCAAGAGGGCCACAGAGAGAAAGAGTCGAAGGATGCACAGACTGGGGTGGACGAAGGGAACGGGAACAGAGGCGCACGAGATCCCCCAGAAGTACGCGACATGGCCCTGCGCCCCGTTCCACTGGAGTTCCCCCAAAGTCCATTAGAGATGTGCCGAATGAATGCCACCAGACTTCTGGCAAATCCCGAGCGCTTCGGGCTCTATATGGTACACCGCCTACTCCAGATTTCGTAATTAAGGGAGGGGGGTCTCACTTCGGGGGGGGTCTCTTCCAGGCTATCTTGGAGGGCCTGGGGGGGTCTGGGGACGATGTTTTGGAGGGTTCTCCCACGGGGGGGGGTCTAAAACTTCTCGTCTGGGAGGGTTGAGACCCCCTCCCTTTTACTACGAAATCTGGAGTACCCCCAAAGCGAAGATCATTCGGGACCCCTCCGCAGGGCCGAGGACACGGGCTCTCACCCTTGCTCCTGCCGGTCTTCCTGACCCTCCCAGCTCCAATCCTTCCGAATCCGCCGACCCTTCGGACGTGTGTGAGACGCTGTCGTCTGTCGTCGTCTCCGTTGTCGTCGCCAGTCCCAAGGAGTTGAAGAACGCACAAAAAAAACAAACAAAAACAAAAAAAAATCTATGTCTCCCCTCCCTGACTTGGGGGGGGGGGGGGCGGGCGGTGGGGACGGGGGGCTCGGGGGGGGGGGATCCCGGGTCAGGATTACCACCTCCCGGGGGGTCCTGGGGGGTGGTCCCACCTGTGGAAAGGGAAGACCGAGAGGGGTTCCTCTGTGGGAAGGGGCCGGCCCTCGTCGCGGCCCCGGCCCTGGCCCTGGCCCCAGCCCTGGCCCCAGCCCAGACCCCGGCCGTGGCCCCGGCCCCAGCCCCAGCCCCGACCCCAGCCGGACCCAGTCCTGGCCATGGCTCGGGCCCCAGCCTGGGGGCCCCAATAGAGGGCCCCAGGGTCCCGGGGGAGGTCCCGCTTTCAGGGTCGGCGGCGCCGGCCGTAAGGCCATCACGATACATACTCCCCTTCCCCTCCCTCTGTACGAAGCAAGGGCACAAGGCGGGCCGCGTTGCTTTACCCGTCAACGAGATGTCAAGTCGACGTGCTTCCCTTTCGAAATCAACGCTCTCTCTTCGGAATTGCAAAATTCGTGGCAAGAACGGACGCGGCGAACATCGTGCGCAAGAAAGCGATATGCTACTCTGACGTTGGCCTTTTACTGAGACTAACCATGAGATGCCGATCTCGCATTCACCCCGCACGGCTATGCACGCGCAGAGGCGCGCATGATTTGTTTACCGACCATGCGAAAGGACAATTTCATCTTCAATGTCTGCACGGCCTCCACGCGCTTTTGGCGTGGAGCAGCGGGTCCAAGGTCTGCCATTCTGCGCAGGCCCTGGTGGGTAATATCTAAGCGGGACAACGGTCACGCCGGCTTCCGAAAATTACGGCGCCGAGTCCTCCTCGAATCACCCAGGTCACAATGTTGGTCGCCAATGTCCCAAGCCTCGCCACCTTCACGACCTTCATTCAGAGCCCATGACTAATCCAACCTTCGTTGTTGGTACGAACATCGTTGCAGCTCATGAAGTAAACGAACATGGTGTACTCATCGTCTACACGTTCACCTGCATCCCTACCTCCAGTCAAGCCCACGCAATCCGACATAGCCTCACACATGCGCTTCGCCTCCGAGACTTTGCCACTGAATCCTTTAAAATCGCTGGTACTGCCATCTGTCGGGATCTTGCAGTCTGCGGTGATGTACTCATTGTCGTAGAACGTCCAGGAGCCAGAAGACGCTGCAGCACCCAAGAAGTGTGGCGCTGTGTCTTCACTGCTCAGGCCACTGGTCACGCCGTCCTCGGAGGTCCACTGGCTCTCGTCGGGGACCGAAGCCTTCAGCCAACACTCGTGGCTCCCGTCGATCCAAGTCCACGCGTGGCACGCGGAGTCGCCGTCGCACTGCTCGCAGCAGTCCTCCGCGACGTTGGACCAGGCCGCCTGCCTCAGGTTGGTCCCGTGGCTGTTCTTGCCCACAGAGCTGGCGCACCCAGATGGCGGCGCCGAGCTCCTCAGGCCGCTGGTCACGCCGTCCTCGGAGGTCCACTGGCTCTCGCCGGGCACCGAAGCCTTCAGCCAACACTCGCGGCTCCCGTCGATCCACGTCCACGCGCGGCACGCGGAGTCGCCGTCGCAGCGCCCGCAGCAGTCCTCCGCGACGTTGGACCAGGCCGCCTGCCTCAGGTTGGTCCCGTGGCTGTTCTTGCCCACAGAGCCGGCGCACCCGGATGGCGGCGTCGGGGATGGCGGCGCCGAGCTCCTCAGGCCGCTGGCCACGCCGCCCTCGGAGGTCCACTGGCTCTCGTCGGGGACCGAAGCCTTCAGCCAACACTCGTGGCTCCCGTCGATCCACGTCCACGCGTGGCACGCGGAGTCGCCGTCGCACTGCTCGCAGCAGTCCTCCGCGACGTTGGACCAGGCCGCCTGCCTCAGGTTGGTCCCGCGGCTGTTCTTGCCGACCCTGCTGGAGGCGCCGCAAGGCGCGGAGCCTGCCCTAAGAATCGCCGGGGATGGCGGCGCCGAGCTCCTCAGGCCGCTGGCCACGCCGCCCTCGGAGGTCCATTGGCTCTCGTCGGGGACCGAAGCCTTCAGCCAACACTCGCGGCCCCCGTCCATCCAGGTCCACGCGTGGCACGCGGAGTCGCCGTTGCACTGCTTGCAGCAGTCCTCCGCGACGTTGGACCAGGCCGCCTGCCTCAGGCTGGCCCCGTGGCTGTTCTTGCCGACCCTGCTGGAGGCGCCGCAAGGCGCGGAGCCTGCCCTAAGAATCGCCGGGGATGGCGGCGCCGAGCTCCTCCGGCCGCTGGCCACGCCGTCCTCGGAGGCACACTGGCTCTCGTCGGGGGCCGAAGCCTTCAGCCAACACTCGTGGCTCCCGTCGATCCAGGTCCACGCGTGGCACGCGGAGTCGTCGCTGCACTGCTTGCAGCAGGCCTCCGCGACGTTGGACCAGGCCGCCTGCCTCACGTTGGTCCCGTGGCTGTCTTTGCCGACCCTGCTGGAGGCGCCGCAAGGCGCGGAGCCTGCCCTAAGAATCGCCGGGGATGGCGGCGCCGAGCTCCTCAGGCCGCTGGTCACGCCGTCCTCGGAGGTCCACTGGCTCTCGTCGGGGACCGAAGCCTTCAGCCAACACTCGTGGCTCCCGTCGATCCAAGTCCACGCGTGGCACGCGGAGTCCCCGTCGCACTGAGCGCAGCAGTCCTCCGCGACGTTGGACCAGGCCGCCTGCCGCAGGTTGGTCCCGTGGCTGTTCTTGCCCACAGCCGGCGCATCCGGATGGCGGCGCCGGGGATGGCGGCGCCGAGCTCCTCAGGCCGCTGGTCACGCCGTCCTCGGAGGTCCACTGGCTCTCGTCGGGGACCGAAGCCTTCAGCCAACACTCGTGGCTCCCGTCGATCCAAGTCCACGCGTGGCACGCGGAGTCCCCGTCGCACTGAGCGCAGCAGTCCTCCGCGACGTTGGACCAGGCCGCCTGCCGCAGGTTGGTCCCGTGGCTGTTCTTGCCGACCCTGCTGTAAGGCGCCCCGCAAAGGGCCGGGAGCCTGCCCTGAGATCGCCGGGACGGCGGCGCCGAGCTCCTCAAGCCGGGCCTGGTCACTCCGTCCTCGATGTTCGCCAGCCACAGGCGTTTGAACCGAAGCCTTCAGCCAACACTCGTGGCTCCCGTCGAGCCACGTCCACGCGTGGCACGCGGAGTCGCCGTCGCACTGCTTGCAGCAGTCCTCCGCGACGTTGGACCAGGCCGCCTGCCTCAGGTTGGTCCCGTGGCTGTTCTTGCCCACAGAGCCGGCGCTCCCAGATGGCGGCGCCGGGGATGGCGGCGCCCAGCTCCTCAGGCCGCTGGTCACGCCGTCCTCGGAGGTCCATTGGCTCTCCTCGGGGACCGAAGCCTTCAGCCAACACTCGTGGCTCCCGTCGAGCCACGTCCACGCGTGGCAAACGCAGAGTTCCCCGTCCGCACTGCTTGCAGCATTCCTCCGCGACGTTGGCGAACAGGCCGCCTGCCTCATGTTGGTCCCATGGCCTGTTTCTTGCCGACCCTACTGAGGCGGCCCGCAAGGCGCCGGATCCTGCCCTGAGAATCGACGGGGATGGCGGCGCCGAGCTCCTCAGGCCGCTGGTCACGTCCGTCCTCGAGTCCATTGGCCTCTCCTCTGGGACCGAAGCCTTCAGCCTGAGCTCGTGCTCCCGTCGAGCCACCTCCTAGCGTGCACCGGATCGCCGTCGCACTGCTTGCAGCAGTCCCTTCCCGACGTTTGGACCAAGGCGCCGGGGGGCCTCCTCATGTTGGTCCCGTGGCTGGTCTTGCCCACAGAGCCGGCGCTCCCAGATGCGGCGCCGGGGATGGCGGCGCCGAGCTCCTCAGGCCGCTGGTCACGCCGTCCTCGGAGGTCCACTGGCTCTCGTCGGGGACCGAAGCCTTCAGCCAACACTCGTGGCTCCCATCGATCCAAGTCCACGCGTGGCAATCGGAGTCCCCGTTGCACTGATTGCAGCAATCCTCCGCGACGTTGGACCAGGCCGCCTGCCTCAGGTTGGTCCCGTGGCTGTTCTTGCCGACCCTGCTGGAAGCGCCGCAAGGAGCAGAACCTGCCCCGAGAAGCGCCTTCCGAGAGGAGTTCCCGATGGCACCACGCAAGCTGCTGTACACCGGGCCGCTGGTCGCGTCCTGCGCCGCCAGCGCAGAGGCAACGAGCAGAAGCAGCAGCGACATGCCGCGAGCCATCACTCCTTACGGTGGGTGCGGAACGAGTCGACAGGGTTTCAGCTTTGAGCCCAGACTCTTTGAGCCAAATGGCTACGCAGAGGGGCGCGCAGGAAGCACACGAGCTCTTCATCAAGTAAATCACAGGCCGCGGCACCCCGTGCGCATCTTGGCATGTTACTTTGGGGGGCGGAAAGATACGGATACGTGTTGTCCCCGGACCTCTCTTGGGGTGCGTTCTGACCAGAATTTCGA